TGATGGTGTAAACTCCACACAGCGACAGTATAAAGGAATGTTTAATACTCTTGTGAAAATATATAAGTGTGAAGGTGTGCGTGGATTGTATAAGGTAATGTATTATGTGTATGTTTTGGACAGCTGAAAATTGGAATTCTGTTGGGGCTGTTGTCTCACTCCCTAGTGCCCTGTATCAGTCCTTAAAAAACGCAAGGGTAGGCAAGACACAGTTTAATGAAAATAGAAATCTAGTTCGTAATGTTGGAATTTCACCCCGAGGTACTGATTCTCATTACCATAGATGTGTCTGCAAAACCCTAACAGGAGAGCTGTCTGAAACCTTGCCAGGTGTCTTCAGTAAATCAGGAGAAGAGGCCAATGAGTCTTAATAGAATCTTACTGGGAAGTTTATTCATCTGAAATTCCCAAAATATTAAGTAATAGCGCAAGGGCCTGAGTTCAATCCCTGGTTCTGCCAAAAACAAAAAACAAACATTTAGCTCTTGAAGTAGTAACAAAACCCCCAACTCCTTGCTTTTGTGGTAGTTTTGAAACTTCTTCCTAGTGCCAGTAAGATGTTCTGTGACTTAGATAACTCCTTTTCTCTCCAGTCCCACCTTTCCACCCTCCACTCCCCCTCATGCTTATCCCACAGTTTAAAATGAAAATAAGACTCATTGAAGTTTAGTGTTTTTAACTAACATGCAATAGCCTCTAAAATCAGTGAGCTTGGTCTTGTGACTGACTGAGCTAGGGGCCGAATAATAGAAAGTAATCATTGTTTTGTGTTTCTTTCAGCATTTGTCTTACTGTTACAGAGTATCTGTGTTCAGTGCATTGAATTGTCATTGCTTGTACTTTATTTTCTAGAACTTAACCTTCCTCTCATACTGTAGTTCCTGGTAGTGTAGGTCATCTTTATGTGTGTACTATAAAAAGGAAAGCTAGCATAGGAAAATGTAAACCTTAACTTAGAAAATAAAAGAGTGCTACCGTTAGCCTCATATTAAAAAGCAATTGATTTATACAAAACTTAAATGAATTTTCTTTAAGTGTTACGTAAACAAGAGAGAAAATGTTTTACTTCCACCTTTCCTCGAAAATGGCCTGACTTTGCTTTATTCTGATTGTTTCCCTAGGGCTTTGTGCCTGGGCTATTCGGAACATCCCACGGCGCCCTGCAGTTCATGGCATACGAGTTGTTAAAGCTGAAGTACAACCAGCACCTCGAGCGACTGCCAGAAGCCCAGTTGGTACGAGGGCTCTTGGGAGAGTGACATGATGCACATCTGATGGGGGCAGGGGGTGCTACTGTGCACACTAGTAGCGCTGCTACCCTAATGATACCTGCTCTGCTGCTGACTTTGTTCAGATTTCAGTAGTTTATAGGCTGATGGCAGACAGATATTAAAACAGAACCCTGTAATCACACAAAACTTGCCTTTAAGGAGGGGAAATTCTGTTTTTTATGTGTATTTTTCTGTATGATTTTAATGCTTACGTTTGAAAGAAATCCTGTCTACAGAGAAACATGTTTTTGTTGTCACTTTAGAGCACAGCCGAATACATATCTGTCGCAGCACTTTCCAAAATATTTGCAGTGGCAGCCACGTACCCATACCAGGTGGTGAGGGCCCGTCTCCAGGACCAGCACATGTCCTACAGTGGGGTAGGGGACGTGATCACCAGGACATGGAGGTGAGCGTGCAGGGCCTCTTCCTGTGGCACCCTTGCCACAGGTGTACAACACGGACTGCTTCTTTACGCAGTCTCTGCTGCTCATCTCATCTCCGCAAGGCTTCTTCATTTGACAAGTTAGACTGTATGGACTGATGGGGTTGCTATAAAGATAAAACTGTTACTGGGATGGTGGCGTGGGTCTATCATCCCTGCTACTCAGGAAGGGAGGCTGAGGCACGAGGATCACAAGTTGGAGGGTAGCCTGGGCAATTTATTGTGACCTCATTCCAAAAACTAAAATGAGACGCGTGAAAGTGCCTTGAGCCAACGCGGCAAGTTGCTAGGCCCTGTCTCCTGTTCTAAGCCAGTGGTGGTGAACCCATGGCACACATGCCGCAGTAGGCTGTTCCTGTCATCGAAAGCTCTGAAAGGTTCGCTGTCACTGTTCTAGGCACCAGAACGATAATGTCTTTGTGCGTGTGCTGTGTTGATTGTTGCATAGCATTTATGAGCTGTGAGCTTTTTAATGCCCATGTGAGATCAGTTAAAATTCCTCCTGCATGTTTACTCATTTAAAAGCATTGAAAGAAGATTAATTTAAAACACTTGCCAGTTTGTTTTTGCACCATCCTCATCTTCTTCCTTGGTTCTTGGAAGAAATGCAGGCTCCAAAGGTGGCTCAGAAATTACATCCTTCGGTGCACTGGAGTGTGAGGTCTCCTGCTTCCTTCACACCCTGTGTCAGGCCAAATCTGTGTTTTCAGGCTTGCTATTTAAGAAATTAAGGGTGCACCTATTTTTCTCTCTACAGAAAAGAAGGCATCAGTGGATTTTACAAAGGAATCGCTCCCAATTTGATCAGAGTGACTCCAGCCTGCTGTATTACCTTTGTGGTCTATGAAAATGTCTCCCATTTCCTACTTGATCTTCGAGAAAAGAAAGTCAGCTAAAAGAGGAAAACTCCAGAACCTCTGCCCAAGGCAGTAACAGGCTCCTTCAAGACAAAACTTAAGACTAGTGCTGCACAGCCCCGTGACTCATAATCGGAATTGGTCTGTGGGGTTAGAAGCCAGGAACTGCTGGGCCTTTGCCAGAGGTTCTGCCTTCTGCACCTGTGTGGGCTCGGCTGCCTCTGCTGACGGCTTCCTGCCACATGATGCCAAGCCAGCAGCAAAGCTGTTTCTCCTGCATCATTCAAGCAGAAACTGCCTTGCACCCCTTCTAAGCTGTTTAGAGGAACCTGCTGCTTTTCCTGACCTATTGCCTGGATTGCCTTTAAAATTGACCTTCATGCACTAGCAAGCGAGTGGTTTTGTGGGAGCGTGCTGGTGCCCCCAGGGTGATAACCCATAGAGTGAGGCACCACCCAGACGCCTGCTCCTGCGGCCCTTTGAAACACCCAATAGCTGTTGTCACTAGATGTTTCTTTTCAGAGGCACTTCCATAATTTACAATGTAATTTGACTTACTTTTGGCATAAGTCCTTAATGTTTAAATTTATAAAGTCTGACCTTTTCAGATTCAGCAGTGTCAGCCTTTATTTAGTATGCATAGCTACAAATCACTTACCAGAAATGCTGAGTAACCTGGGGGTGGTGCGCGTGCCCGTGATCCCAGCACTTGAGAGGCTGAGAGGAGGATCCTTGCGCTTTCCCGACCAGCCTGGGCTGCAAAGTGAGCTGAAGACCAGCCTGAACTTCGTAGTGAGGCCCAGCCTCAAAAAGAAAAAAAAATGCTGAGAAGATCAGCTTCTGCAGATGCTAGAATGTTTGGAATGTGTTTATTAACTGAATGGGAATGAGAAACTTCTTTCATTTTTGGATTTATGGATCTAGATCCTAAATAAATGATTAACTTACATTGGTTGTTCAAATTCAAGTTGAAATACAAATTACATTAATGCCATTATTGATTTTATTGAAACAAGTCATCGATGTTTACATACACAGGCCTCCCCTAAATGTGGTGGTGCACACCTCTAATCATAGCACTGGAAAACTGAGACTGGTGGGCTTCAAATTCAAGTCCAGCCAGGAAAAATTAGTGAGGCACTGTCAAAAAGGATTGGGGATGCGGGTCGGTCGGAAGACCCTGAGGTCGCTTCCCAGAACCACACGGGAGAGGCAGCAATGCTGGTATCATTTCATTTATCATAAACATCTGAGCTCTGTAACATTTTTGTTTATTGTAAATAAAACATTGGGATTTTTCAGAATCATTTAAATGGCTTTTTGAAAACAGGTCTATTTTTTATATGTTGGAAATGAGATCATTTTAAAATAAAGATGATAAAGTACCCAGTTTTTCATAGATTGTAACACAGGAATATTTTGTGTGATTTTTTTCATAATTCTGGATATTTCAATTCATATGTAATACTGACAGTCCTTAAGTAGGAAGATGTCACATTTCCCTGAAAATAGCTATTTCCCCAGACATAAGACCAAGTCTTAGAATTTTTTGCTTCCAAAGATACAGTAAGGCCAGGGATACAGCTTAGTGGCGCAAGCAACTGCCTAGCAATTGCGCGGTCGTGAGTTCAATTCCCAGTACCAAAAGAAGTAGTAGGGTTTATTTTCAGAGGATATCATTTTTCATGTAAAAATCTGTTTATTCATGTATAATAATCTACATTTATTCAAATACTGTGATGTCATCTAAAACACCATCCTAATTTTCTAAACCCAGAATTCAGGCCTAGATTTCTTGGGGCCGACTTCCTATAGAAACATTGGCCCTCATCTGCCATGGCGGCTCTGTACACAAGCACAAGTAGCTCGTGTTTCATCAATACACACATGTTGAACTGTGAAGATTCGTATTAGACACAACTGCGTCCACTGTCAAGTGCCCACATTATTCATTCACTGTGTCTGGAGTTAACCTGGTAGTAGGGTGGGCGACCAGGAAGAGCCAGGCTGGCCTTCCAAGTTTAACTTCCCTTTTTCTCAGCTTGACCCGTGGGAAGAGAACGTGGAAGGGCAGTCCCATGGCTCTGCCCTGTGCTCTGCAAAAGGACCTGTCCACCCCAGGAGAAAGGGTCGGCTGGTGGCCTCTAGTGGGTGCTCATCAGCTCCTGGTGGAGAAGGTAGGGGGCTTCCTGGAGTACTGGTTCTCCAGTGGTTCATTTCTGCAGACCCCGTTGGAAGTCCTGGTTATCCTTAGCTCTCAGATCTCTTCTCTCATCCCTGGGGTCATGACTTGGGCACACCATTGCAGTAGTCACTGTACATACACGGTCACATACCATACAGTGGCTGTTTTTGCCACTGAAAGTACACAGCTGAGTGGCAGTGCCTACTGAGTGTTGGGTGGCTATCACCTCTGCACATCTAAAGTATTTCCACCTCACCGGAGTGGCATCTACGCACTGAGCAGTTGTTCCTTGTGTATCACAAATGCTGATCTGCCACAACTGGAGCCTTTTGTGTGAGGAGAAATGTTAGGTCATGTGGTAATTCTGCATCCGCTATATATTTCCATAATGGTTGTATCATTTTATGTTCCCAGTAGCAATTTATCAGAATTCTAGTTTCTCCACCTCTGCCAACAGTCATTGTTTTTCTGTAGCCATCTTAGTAACTTGCATTTCCCAAATGGCAAATAATACTAAGCATCTTTTTAAGATGCATCCCTGTGTGTTTCTGTTCTTGCAGTATATTTTTTGAAGAAACTGTCTAGCTTCCCAGAGTCTGGATTTTGCTGAATATTCATCTGATAATAAACATGTTCTTTTATCCTCTGTATTTCCCACAAACTGATACATCTGGAAGCTAAATCAGATTCAAGCTTGATAGTTTCTTGGGAAAACTACCTCTTGGGTAGTGGTGTGTAATTTTATTGACTTGTCTGTTGTAGGAGTGTCTTAGTAGTTTTTTGTCTGTTTGTTTGTTTTACTGGGAAAATATATCTTTAGAATTAGTCAGCTGGACTCAATTTAGATGATCCCAATTTTGTTGGCAACATCCAATGCATCATAATCAGGAGCCAGTCGAACATATGCCTTCTTCTCTCCATCAGGCCTGAGTAGGGTACTGACCTTGACAACATCAATGTCACAGAGCTGCTTTACAGCTTGTTTGATTTGGTGATTATTGGCTTTGGCATCCACGATGAACACGAGTGTGTTGTTGTCCTCATCTTTTTCATGGCTGACTGTGGTCGGGGGAACATGATGATGGCATAGTGGTCAAGCTTGTTTCTCTGGGGGTGCTCTTCCAAGGGTATCTGGGCTTCCTCTGGAGCCGCAGGGTCTTAGCACAACGGGACATTTGTATCTCTGCGGCTGTGGATGCCTTTCAGCACAGCCTTCTAGGCCTTTAGAGCTTCTGCTACGGCTTCAGCTTTGGGAGGGGCAGGGGCTTCCTTTTTCACCTTCGGCACCATCTTGGTAAAAAGGCTTTCTCCATGTTTTAGGAGCTTACCAGTCATTGATGAACACTGTTAGACCACTTAATTCATAAGGGATTGAAAGATGTTCTAATGTTGCTACTCTTCATTCACTAGCTGTACAGTAAATCCCCAACTTGCAAACATACCAAATGTGAACTTTCACAAATACAAACGGACCTCACTTTATGAACCATTGTAGATGCAAACAAAAGCAGCTCGCGTGTCTGCTGGACACTGTTGTGGTGCTGCTGCTGTGGGCTCGTTGTACGGCGCCACAGTGCACAGTACAGCCCAGGGTGTCCAGGAGGAAGAGCAGTGCTGCTGTGGAGGTGCTGCTCGGAAGTGCAGAGCAATAACCATGGAAACAAAAGTGAAAGTAGTTCATTTGCAGTTACTGTACTATACCACCCCTTTAAGGTTCTAGTAAAAGAATTAGTTGATTTACAGGTTTGTTTGTTTTAATATTCATTTATTTATTTAGTGTGTGTGTGGCCAGCTCAGCCCACCAGGGGGCGGGGCTGGCTGGCATGTGGTGCTGGGGATTGAACCGCGGTCCCTGTGTTTTGCTTAGCTTAGCTTGTTCTAAGTAGGTGCTTTAGACCACTGAGCCATCTCACCAGCCCCTGTTTTTTGTTTTTTTTTAATGCTTTACATTGTATGTTTGTGTCAATGGTATATAGGTAAGACTCACTTTGTCCAACTTACAAATAACTTCCAAACATTCTCCCAGAATGGAATGTTTTGTTTTTTGAGACAGGGTCTCACTCTGAAGTTCAGGTGGCCTTGAACTCACAGCAGTCCTCCTGCCACAGCCTCCTAAGTCCTGAGACTAAGGCGTGAGCTGATGTAAACGTAGGCAGTGGGGCCTACTTGGAGGAGCAGGTCCGGGGAGCCTGCACTGCCACGGGTGATGTGCGTCGGTGCCAGCTGCCTCCTGTCTGACTCCTGTCTGCCGCGAGCGAAGCAAGTCTCTCTGCTCCCCGCCATGATATTCTGCTAAGCACAGTGATGCCCCAGAGCAGTGGAGCCAGTGGACCATGAACTGAAACCCCTGCTACTGGAGGGGTTTGGAGCCCAAATAAACCTTTCCTCAGTTACGCTGTTCCTCGGGTCTTTTGTTACAGTCCCAAATAGCTAACACACTGACTCGCGTCGGGGAGTCCTTACTTCCTTTTACTAGGAAATAGTGTGCAGAGATCAGAGTTTGGCTTCCCAGGTCTGGTCATTTGTTCCCAGGCCTCTTCTGTAAACACAGCCAGGCAACATTGTCCCTATTGTTTTCTAGCTCTATCAGGGATAAAGCCCTTCGTGCATGCCTGCTGGGTCCCAGCCTCTACTTATCTTCATCAACCTGCAGCTGTCCAGACTGCAGGAATTCTTTCCGATCCCCTTAGAATGATCGCCCTTTGTTTGATATCTTCAACATTTTTATTTCTATGTATGTCTGATCCTTTCTACTAAATAAGCCATGGCAGGCCCAACTCCAGGGTTTTTTTTTTGTTTGTTTGTTTGTTTTTAACTCTTTGTTAGTGAACATAAAATTCCTAAAGTCCTCATAATACTTCCTGAGACCCAAACACCTTCTTTGTATCCCACCGATACAGAACCATACTATACATGTACTAAAAGTTCACATATCAATTGTTGAAGGAATAAATACAAAATTAAATTTATACTCAACCTTTCAGATACAAAGTACTAGCAGTTCCAACTTTAGTAGCAAGTAGGTTCAAGTTATTAAAATTGTTTAAAATATGTTTTATTTAACAGATATAAAACAACTCTAAACATTTACAACTTATACAAAGACCAATAACTTCTATATTTTCAAAACTGCTACACTAAGCAAACAGAAAAAACTAAGCGCCACACAAAATTCCGCACACTAGATGCAGGGAATAAGAACATGAAGAAGGTTTTCTAATCGACTAAAATTCTGAAGCCAGCTTTGATTGAAGTAAAATGGATACTAGATTTAAAAGCAGTGCGAGATCACACTTTGGTCTGTAAACATGGCTGACTTCGTTGTTTACTTAGATGTGTATGTAAAATAATTTTTAAATGCTGGAGGAACCATAATTAAAGGAGGTAGAGAATGAGAAATGAAAGGATTCATTTGGGGAGTTCTTCAATAATGATGCGAGATACTGAATTCCACCCAGTAGAAGCGTCTCCTTTGGGGTAATCGGAGCAGGTCCCCACCCAGATGGCAACGTCCACCAGGCCAGCGCCGATTCCTTCACAGAGGCCCTCCACTGCAAGACACAAGCACAGCCACGTCGTCCTTAGAACAGAGAGCAAAGCCACTCACACCGCACTGACTTGAAAGATAGATGGCAATTCTGTGTAATGTAAGGCTAATTAAAAGTTCTAATACATGATGAAAGTTTCATAATAAAGCTCCTTTCTCAGTTGGTACATACTTTTTTTTTTCTTTTTTCTTCGTCTTTCTCCTGTATTTTAGAGAAGATTGTACAGGATGTTCAGGGTCTCACTACTAGATCATAGTGGTTTACAGCCTCCCAAGAGCTGGGATTACAGGTGCACACCACCACACCCGGTCTCAATCACCATCACAGCACGTCCTGAGGATAGGACCAGCACGGCAGGCCCGGGGATCGAACCCCTGGCCCCTGCGCCTGCTTGTCGATGCTTTAATCTGCTGAGCTATTTGGCCAGCCCTTTTTTGGTCTTTTTTGACACAGGATCTGGCCATGCACTTCAGGCAGGCCTTGAGCTCACTTTGTATCCCAGGCTGGTCTGAACTTGTAACAATCCTCCTGCCTCGGCCTCCCAAGTACTGGGATTACAGGTGTGCACCACCATATCTGGCTTGTACATAAATATTTTTAAAGGTGCTGAAAACTCTCCAAAGATGCTATTTTATGATTTAAGCTTAACAGGCAGTTTTCTTACAGGTTTCAACCATAAAACTATAATTTGCGTAGTTAAAGAGACCACCTAAAACCAAAAATAAATTTATTTGACTACATAAAGAAAGCCTACATTTTAAAAAGACTTCCCAATGTAGTGAGAGGCCTGACCCAAGAGATACAAAGCTTTGTCATACAAGGCTCTTCTACTGCTTAGCTGTATGTTTGATTCACATAGAAGAAACCATAGTTATATTAGCAGAAAGAGATTCTAGCATAGTCACTATACCAGCTTTTCAACCTGGGACTCCCATTTCATGTAGAATTTCCTCCTAGTAAAAAAAATTTTTAAAAAACCAAAAACCTACTTTTCTTCTCTGTTTTGATGCTTTATAATTATGCCTCTTTACACACACACACCCTAGATTTTCACATTAATGTGCAATTTGCATTCCATTTTATCTACTGTCTTCACCCACGCCTAAAACTCATGACATTATAATAGGGTAAGTTGCCTGTGATGTCTGGGACTGCAGATTGGCTGAGTCTTTAAGAAAAAGGAAGAGCTGGCCAAATAGCTCAGTGGATTAAAGCGCCTGCAAGCAAGCACAGGAGCCCCAGATTCTATCCCCAGGGCTGTCGTGCAGGCCCCGCCCCTGGGACATGCTGAGACGGCAATTGAGACTGGGCGTGGTGGCATGTGCCTGTAATCTGCACTCTTGGGAGGCTGTAAACCGGCGGATCACTAGGAGTCCGATCCAGTAGTGAGACCCTGAACACCCTGTAGACCCTTCCCTAAAATACAAAAAAAAAAAAAAAGAAAAAAAGAAAGAAAAGAAAAATGAATGCTGACACAGAGGTAGTGTGGTGACTGGTTTGACCTCCTGTTTGTTGAGTTCAAGCACATCCCAGTTTTTACAGTTTGTGTCTAGATGTCCCCCCTTTGTCAGAAGTGGCTGGATCTGAGTGTGAGATGCTGGGATTAAGGTTATGTGATTACTAAATCAGTCCACTGACTGGTTTGGCACCACCCTAATCCTGGTAGTCTGGGTAAGATAAAAGGAGAGAGTCTTATCTCCCCTCTTGTTGTTTTTGCTGTGTTCTCCCACCATTAACAGCTGTCCCTCTGCCATGAGCCACCCTGCCTTGGAGCCTGCTGATTATGGACTAAAACCTCTGTAAACGGTGAGCTAAATAAACCTTTTCCCTTTCAGTTTCAGATATTTTCTATCAGCAAAGACAACAAAGTAACTGTGACACCAGCTGAGGCCCACAGTGGAGTTCTGAAGCAATGTGCTTCCAACAGCTGTCACACCAGTGAGTCTCCGGTTGCCCACTGGAATCCAGGGGCCTGGTTGTGGCCTAGGCCTCTCCCAGCACTGGGTGAGGGAGGCAGTGGGCACGCAGCCTCACCTCACCTGCTCTCCTCTGTGCCATGCCTGGTGAATATGCCCATGCTCCCCCAGACCTGGCCATCGAGGGCCTGGAGGCTTCCCCTTAGCGCCCCACAGCCTGTCCTGTAGGACAAGCCTGGGTTCAGCATGTGTCACACATGCAAAGAATCAAATGTTTACCTTGTGATCATTAATACACTAAATAATGTTTGTGTAATCAGGGAAAACATTAACATTTTGCTGTGATAACACAGTGCGGCAGCTTGCTCAGCATCTAAAATATGCAGGAGTTAGAGTTCTCAGCCGGTTTCCTCCTAGACACAGGTACTAGATGACATTCAAAGATTTGTCCAACCTGGGCACAGCCAGAGTGTTGTCCTCTGATATGCCAGCTGTCTACACCCTGCTGTCTTCCACTTGACAAAGAGTACAAGGAAAAGTGGCTTTGGAGATAAAGTTACCTTAAGTAGAAACTGTTATAACAACAGATTACTTGTGACTTTTCACTCAACTGATCATATCGAATATGTTTCTGCACAGATGGGGAAATGCTTTGTCAAATAGTTCATAGAGCACATGCATGTCTAGCCCACAGCCCTTGGACCTAGGGGATTAGGCTCCAGTAGATATTAACACATCTTTAAAGATAATCATAGAAAGTAGCTGTTCGTATCAACTAGTGCCTAACCGTGTCACTTCCTAATGATATTTGATAGACCTAGATTTTTCTTAGAGACTGCTTCTCAGAAGGGAAGCACTTCTTCTCTGGCACATGTTCATAAGGAAACTTTTTACTTTGATCACAAAGAGCCCTGTTTACAACAAGTAGGAGCTATGTGAAAAATCCTGGAGCTCAGGCTTCACCCACAGCCTGAAATCAGATCTCCTGGGGACACACTAACCACCCACCAGCACTGTGCCAAATTCCCTAGTTGAGAACTGATAGAGACCACTATGACACAGCCCTGAGCAGGACTTACATTAGCCAGCCGGCCTCCATATTTACTTGTGAGTCTGTCCCAGGCCTAGGCCCCTTGTCTGGAGATGGAAAGCGGACACACAGTAAGCTAACCTCCATGAATCACTGATCTCAACCGAGGCCTGCAGTGGCCGGGGAAGCTGGAATGCCTCAGAGGATGGTAGGCCTCAGCGGAGATCAGTGACTCCAAGACAAGGCCATGTCTAAGGACACCTGGCTCCAACCCCAACTAACTAGATAAAGGCTGCAGCTGCAGACTTCTCACTCATGGGTGGAGGGCTTCATGGAGATAACAGTTCTCCTAACATGTCTTATTTGGAGAAGTCTTTGAAGTCCTTGAATGGTCTTGTGCGATTCACACCTTTCTTTAGTATTCTCCCTTGTTTTGATAATAACTATGGGCCTCCCTGAGAAGATCTTTGTCTTCACCCCCAGCAAGTCTGTAATTCTGTTAGAGCAGTTTGAACCTCGTAGTGCCCTAAACTGATACCACTTGATTCATTTATTTAAGCCTTCCCCTCATTTGTGAGATTGCAGGCCTAATCAGTCTGCAGTAACTAAGGGATGATATTAATATGTTAGAGAACAACATGGATACGTCACTGACTTTCAACTCTGGACACATCAGATTCACCTTCAGGTCTTTACAAAATACATATCCTAGGTCACCAGGGGTGGTGGTGTAGGCTTGGGAGGCAGATAGACGCATGAGGATTGCCATGAGTTTGAGGCCATCCTGGCTATCTCATGAGTTCAAAACCAGCCTGGAGTACATAGCAAGATCCTGTCTCAATGACAAACAAACGGATGCTCATAGGGATTGAGTCAGTTGGTTAGAGATGGCACCCAGGTATCCATACTTTTCTTTAAAGATCCATAAGTAATTCTGAAGTGTATCCCAAGAAGAATCATGACCATGCCTGGCCAACTTACTATAGAGCTTGTTCCCAGAAGGTTAACAACCCAACATGATAGCAAGACTCAAACCCATCTCAGACCTAAGGCACGCTGCACGGTCACTACTGCACATACCAGAGGAAGTACGATGGATATTAATTGTTGAATTCAGTTCGGGGCTTCCTTGATCCAAGTAAATGATGGCTTCAATTGGCAGCGGGCCTGCACATTCAGCCCCGTTGAACGTGAAGTACCAGCGCTGGCAGCATGCGCTCCTGCACTTGAGCCGCAGCGAGCCGCTGAACAGGACCCGAAGTGCACTGTGGGAACGCATCTTGGTGAAGGTGCATTCCTGTGACAGACAAGGAGGTGGCCGAGAGTGTGGCCCACTTCAGTTAAAAACAGCATTGGGGAGCTGGGGAGACAGCTCAGTGACATAAGTACTTGCCAGGCAAGTACAAGGTCCTGAGTTTGATCCTGGTACACCGCCCCCCCTCACCA